AATGTTTTCACCACTCAAGTTTCCAAAAGATACAAATTGAAGACAAACCAGACTTCAACAAACTAATACCATTGAACTTCAATCTACCTCAAAAGAAAAATTCTGCGAAAATAACGTCACGATGTGTTTTCGCACTCTCTTATCGCTAACTAGACAAGACGAATCGAAACAAATTAACTCATCGCCGGTCATAATTTACCTTATTGCAAAAATTGCGTTCAGAATATATCTTATCTATTTCCCTCGAACATAGTTCATTGTATTCGACATTCGTGCACATTTAAACTCGCGTTCTCCGTTTTCCATAAACAGAAATTTTTCATGGCATAAATTTTTTCTCTTAGTAAAAATTATTCATAAAAATCACAGAACAAGTAAATAATGTTTCGGGAGCATATTCCTCAGATGCTGCACAGCAAATTAGAAACCTGAGCTAGAAAGCTACAGTATTATCTCTGAAGTAAAAAAAACATAATACAATCCTGTGAACATGGATTTTGAGCAATAAAAATGCGTAAATAATGTATCGATTCAAAGAAGCCCAAGATTTTCTAAAAAGGTAGTCACATTTTCCGAAATAGGAAAAAAAAGCCCTGTTTTCCTACATCTGCTCACAAACAACCCAAAAAACCAGACAAAGACTATTAATTTCGAAATAATTTCTTTCCCTCAAGACGCCCAAGAGTTGCATTCACAAAATCGGTCTTAAATTATCTCAAGGTGGAAAAATGATCAAAATGCACACATGTTCGTCTTATCCACTTGAACAGCATATAAAAAAAAAAAATTGACGAAGCCTCCTAACGCGTGACACTGGCTATTGAAATGTTGAAATAATGCCCGTATTCAAATAAGTCCAGAAATTTACTTATAAAATGTTTCCAATCTTTTTTAAATCGCAAAAAAATCTCAAACGAACACTTTGTTCCATCAAGTCCGTTCAGGAAATAAAACGTACGGGACTTCAGCTATAAAATGCTCAAATAATTTCTGCATTCATAGATTCTTCTGTTCACAAACGACCCAAAACACGGGACAATGACAACATAATTTCGAAATAATTTCAGTATCCAAAGACGCCCACGAGTTTCATTCACAAAATATAGGTCCTAAATTAACCAAACTTGGAATAAAAAAAAAACCTAAAATGAACACAAACTATCGTTTTATCCTCGTTGAGCAGCATGAAGAAACTTTCCGACGAAGCCTCCTCACGCGCGAACAAAAGCGGAACACAATAAAGAACCATTGTCGCACAGCTGTACACAATTCGCCTGAGCAAACTCACGCAAGGACACTCGCGCAATCGGGGAATACAATCACGCATCACCCCGTCCCGAAAATATAAAAAACAACATAGATGATCAATCACAACATTAAGTAAAATTATTAAAAAAGAAATTGAATAGAGCTGTTGTGTGTCACTCCCACCTACGCTAGCCGCGTTTCCTGACCTTTCCGGAAGGTCGACGCATTCGCAGCGAGTCACTCACTCACACAACCAAAATATATAGTGCCTTTTTTTTCAACTTTTTTGTCACTGATAAAATTGTAAAACATAAAAAATTCAAAAGGAGTGGGACGAGTTGGATGTTCGCAATTGCCCCTCAATCCCACAGACAAGCTGTTCAATCAAAAGCATCCGCGAATTTATTTTAGCATTTCTTCAATAAAACCTACCAAAACAAAATTTCGAAACTCAATACCAACTCGAGAATTTAAAAAAAAAAGACTTCCCGGAAGCTGATGGAGAGATGTTTTTGCAGAAAAAAGTGGAGAGTTGAACGACAGGAATATGGCTTGACGTGAGACACGTCAATAAGCTTTTGAATTCGATGGGAAATGAGCGAAAGACCATCTTACATTCACATGCCAAAATAGAGCAAAAATTGGAACTGCCCTCGAAATTGGAATCGATGGCGCCTCAAATTCGATTAAAAAGTATAAAGAAATAAAGCTACCTCACAATGCCAAAAAAATGAGCCAATTCCAATAGTAAAACTCAAATCGAAGAGAAATAAATAGACTCCACACAAAGCATTAAAATCAGTAATGGCCTTCAGAACTTTCCCAAGACAACAATTTTCACAAAAAATTGCAAAGAAATGAAAACGCCGTTTCAGAAAAATTTGTCGGAATCAAAAAAATTCCGATTTCGAATTTTAATACACAGCACGATATATTAACACAATCTAAAGACAGAGCACACATTTTTAATGCAATATAAATTAATTCCTTATGCGAAACTGAGTTTAAGAATGTCTGAACACATAATGCTCTTGTGGCGGAATAATTAGATCATCATTTATATAATGTGTGTTGAATTATCTAGAATGCTCTGGAATAATTGAATTGGGCTGCTGTTAGATGGCAGTCCATGTCAATAGAATATTCAATCCATTAATTTATCCCTTTCAGCAACAGCGCAGATTCCTGGAAGGGAGAGAGTGAAAACCATAGAAGGTCACTCTTCCAACATTTTTGATATTCATTCATTCCTGAGTCAATCTGTTGCCAGTTATCATTTTGAATTGTTTCCAATATTTCGATTGTGTGTGTGTTCTGTGAATTAATTATGGGGAAAAAGTGAAATACATTTTTCCGTTTATCTTTTTGGGATTTCCCCAGCTGAACCCCACAGCTGAATTATGTGTTTAATTTTTGGAATTCATCAATTTCTTGCCTCATTTTAAAATCCTCAATTACACTCTTCTTTTTTACATAACTTTCCAATGCAATCAAAAATTTCTCGCACGGTAAAATTTTAATAATTCATCAGAAAATATGCCGACTGGAAAATCAGAATAATGGACAGCAAATTGGGTTACTGGGAAAAACAATGCAATCCGCGATTCGAAATCAGCTCTCAAAAATATAGAGAATAACTGACCACCATTTTCATTTTAATTCCAGACTCGGTTCAAAATTTCCGATTCATTTAAAGTAAATCAATATCAAAATGCATTTTGCACTCTTCACAAAATTGTTTCCCACTCCAGTTCGGATTTCCAACACAAAAATATTTTTCCACAGAAAAAGCTCGATTTTTTCTTCATATTCACCATCAACTTTCTCCATGGAAAAAGAGAAGGAAAAACTATGAACGCTCTGGTGGAACAATGTCCCGAAACATTCAATCGTTTCGAGCCAATGATTTTTCTTAGTCACCTAGTCGAAAATAAGGCGAATTCCAGTTTCAAAAATCAGAAAAGTGAAAATGAAGCTAGCCGACGAACAATGACGTTTTCAATCAATGCTCGCCTTCGAAATTGGTCCAAGAAAACTGAAGAAAGGGATTACATTTCTAGCGGGGACACTCCCACTAATCCAATCCGTTTCACACAAAAAATCACATTGTTCAAGAAGTCTTTTGCAAACGCTTCTGCCTTTCCAACATTTCAAAAGAATAATTTTCTGCTTAAATTTCACAAAAAGTGTGGTGAAAACACAAAATCGAAATTGAATACTGTACTGTACTTGGAAACACAAAATGCGTTTATGTCATTGAAAGTTCCGCCTGTATATTTACAATGGTACACATTACTTCTTTGCAAACGTGAATCAACTTCCTGAAATAGTAAAACTCCTTGAATGGAAGTGGCACGATTCTGCCATTACTTTGCCCATAAAACGCGCAAAATTGCCGCATTCTTTTCTCCCACGCCGTGCCAACCCCACGTGCGCAAAAACACCGGAAAGCATTCTGGAGTACGGTTCAAAGAAGTTTCGCACATTTCCCGTTGAATCAACAAATTTGTTTGCGCTCGGCCGATAAGACCAGAGAAACGCGTTCACGATTTTATTGAAGGATCTGTTGAAAACAAAAAAGATTCATCATGTTCTCCATGACGGGTAATGCTTAATAAGAATTATAAATAATATCTCCAGAATGGAGAACATTTCTTTTTTATACGACTCGTATTTGCTCGGTGGCCGCACACGAAAAAAATCAGCAAAATTCGTTGAAAAATTGCGAATCTTCAAAATTTGTTTTTAAATTTTTTAATGAAGGTCATACAGCATTTGCAACAACAGTTTTCCAACTCACTCATTTGCATCAAATTGATGCCTAGTGATTGACCAAATTAAAAAAAGCGGATTGAAACACTTGGGAAGCTTTACCACATCTAATTGCTGGAAAAGGAAATGTTGTCTTGTTTTTTTTGGCATCGTTTGCTCGTGAATTAATTCGAGAATTGAGCATTAAAAAAAACGCAAATGAATTATCTCAATTGCAAAAATGGCACTTTCGTTTAAAATATCTGAAAGCACACGTCGAGGTTTTCATCACTGTTGCATTCGTTGTATCAATCCAATTAAAAAATGAATTAGTATTTCAAGAAAATTTTATCGAGCTTCAATTTTTATTTTCCCTTTCTAAATAATGAAACGGATGCCAAACGCGCAGTCGCTCCAGGGATACATGCAAGCCCTAATAATTTGGTTCATTGTTTTTTGGCATTAAATGTACAAAAATAAAGATAAATACAGTACATTAATTTTCAGAGGCAAGAATCCATATAAAAAACCTTCACGCGCGATTCTCCAAGTCAAATACAGTACGCAGACGGTATCGTAAGTCTGTACTTTCGATCGTTTCGGCAGATATTTTCTCCGCAAACGAAAATAATGCACATTTTTCCTTAAAAAAAAAAAACGCAAGCGCCAAGATAAACTGACGAAAACGCTTTACAGTACTTCATTACGAGGNTATTGTACTTTCGATCGTTTCGGCAGATATTTTCTCCGCAAACGAAAATAATGCACATTTTTCCTTAAAAAAAAAAACGCAAGCGCCAAGATAAACTGACGAAAACGCTTTACAGTACTTCATTACGAGGGTAGCCGTTAATGAGGTCGAAATGTGGTTTTTGAACATCCGCTATCCAAACGCCGAAGAATCCCGTTTCATAACCCTGTGATGCGTCATCCTCCCGCATTCAAAAGGCGCTTTTTTGTGTGTGCGTGCGTGTGTTTCTGTTTTGTTTGTTGTTTCTCACCACGTTCGCCCTCATTCTTCTTTCGCCCGTCAACATCGTTGTCCTTGTTATCGAGGACCGCATCATCAACGAAGTCAAGCCCGTCCAACCCAATGAGGCCAGTCAAAAATTTCTTTTGAAACACAATTTTAATGGAATTAATTTCAAAACGCTAAAAAAAACATAGTTCAAAATTACAGGCAGACTTAATCTACAACGAATTTCTCTCTTTAATGAATTTGTTCTTCTGGTCTCTACAACTGATTTGTTTCTGGTTTCCTGAATTACATTCAAGAGAGTCCATTCGAAATTTGCGAGTTGCCCATTCAAATCCCGAGTAAATTGCTTTTGAAAAATAAATCAAAGACTTACTTTCTTAAAAGCCAGGCCAAGTCTTCAAAATATACGTAACATAGTTTTCCGAAAAAAAAGTGAGAGGAAGAAGTTTAATTTCTGAAGGTCAGCTAAAAAACGGATGAATTACGGTATTCCAAAATGTATCTACGAATAGAATAGTCCCGCATATCTTAAAATCTGGGCGTCCAATTGCTCTTGGAAAAGTTTTCACGTTTTTCAACATGTACGCAAGAAATTCAGTCAATATAAGGCATAAAAACTAGAGAACATGTAATCTATAACGTGATTTGAAGAATACTGTACTTAAAATCGACGAAAAGATATTTTTCGGTTATTCAAAAAAAACAGAATTAATGCGAAACCTTTTCAAATCAGACTTCTCAGGAAGAACAATGCACGTAATCTCCGCAAATTCTTCCAAAAATATCGAAACGGTGAAAAGAAACCAGAGCCTGTTTTAAAAGTCGAAAACAATATCTGAAAAAAAAATGTTCTAGATCGTTCTTACCTTGAACAAATTTCCGAAAAATCGCAAGAAAATGCATTGAGAAATCGAAAAGCTTTCCGACTGCTCGGAAAAAGAACAATGGTCGAAAATTTCTTGTTGAAAAAAAAAGAACACCGTTGTTGCCATCAAAGTAGCTGCCCAGAAAAACCCGGAACGATTCCAAAGGAAATTGAACAAGTTTCAAGTATTCCCCACGTCGTCGACTGAATTCGTGATACTTTCACCATTGACCCGATTTTTCTCGCCCGCAAACCAGAACGTAGGAAAAAATTAAGGCACTTAACGCGTATCCGTCCAGTACGAAAAAAAAAACTAGTAACATCTAAATCACGGCACGAGCTGGAACTCGTTATTCGCCGTCCTTCCACTTGAAAAAAACAATTATGGAAATTTTAATTAGCCGAGTATGCCGCCTTTATAACCTTCTTACTTGGCTTAGTCCGAGGCTCGTTTTTGTTTTGGCGAAACTTTCCATTTAACTTTAGTGTCGAGAAAGAAAATATATTATACGTTTAATGGATTAGATTTAAAGAAAAAAAACGCAACAAATCAAAACGGAGCACGCGTCAATTTTTCGGAAAAAAAAATTAAATTCTTTGCAAAACGGACTTTAACCATCGATAGTTCTTTCGATATGGCTTTGCCCACTGCTCACACACGCGAAAGATAATCCAGTAAAATTATCGGCGCTCTTCACTTTCACTCAGATGAAAGTAAATTTCACGAGTCGTAAACACTAGAAAGAAATCAGTCCGACAGAAAAAAAGCAAACGCAATACAGACCGAGCATATTCGACCAGATTCAGGCGACATCTAAGTTTTCAACGACGAAAATCTCCGCGTTGGGGACATTCGAATTTTCAAACGTTCACTTATGATCTTATGTGACCAAAAGTGAAACTGGTTTCGCTCACAAAAGGGAGATTTTCATCGAGGAGACGAAAACAAAATTCATACGGCGGAAATATTGGAAGAATGAACCGAATCAGGCTCCGAGCAAAAACAAAACCGCTTTGAAAGGTAAATTGAAATCACAGCTCTTTCTTTTATATAATATGCAAATTACCTAATCTAAATTTAAAAAAAAACGCAACAAATCAAAACGGAGCACGCGTCAATTTTTCGGAAAAAAAATTAAATTCTTTGCAAAACGGACTTTAACCATCGATAGTTCTTTCGATATGGCTTCGCCCACTGCTCACACACGCGAAAGATAATCCAGTAAAATTATCGGCGCTCTTCACTTTCACTCACATGAAAGTAAATTTCACGAGACGTGAACACTAGAAAGAAATCAGTCCGACAGAAACAAAGCAAACGCAATACAGACCGAGCATATTCGACCAGATTCAGGCGACATCTAAGTTTTCGACGACGAAAATCTCCGCGTTGGGGACATTCGAATTTTCAAACGTTCACTTATGATCTTATGTGACCAAAAGTGAAACTGGTTTCGCTCACAAAAGGGAGATTTTCATCGAGGAGACGAAAACAAAATCTGGTTCACAAGAATGACCTCAATTCGTACAGATTCACCATTACACCTAATTAACAGGCAATAACCCGCAGGAACTTGGTCATATAATTGTACAGCATCTAAATATAGGCGCCGAGAACAAAATCACAAAGATTGGCGCGAGACGGAAGAGAACAGCAAAACTGCAAAAATACTGTCTCTTTTTCAGTATTGATGAAGTAGTACTGCACTACAAAAAGAGACAGAGATGAACTCACCTGGCACAGATTCGCCATTGAACCGCACACTCAGAAGATGCACAGCGGGTTCCTGGGGTTTGAAGTTCACCCTGAATTTGGCATTTCCTTCACTCTGCACATAATTTGGCACGTTCCTGCCGTTCACACTAACAATGATTTCCAAATTTCCGGCACCCGCGTGGCTCGCGTCAATATTGAAATACACGGGTTTCCCGACTACGCCGGATCCGATGTCCGTAACATTGATCTTTCCTGCGTCGTAAGCCTAAAAAAGAAAGCGTGTAAAAATATTTTAAATAATACCCGCACATATTTACGCATTCTTGTTATTCTTTACTTTTTGCTCGCTGTTTTTCCGAACATGAAGGTGGACGCGATTGACACTGTTTTTTTCTTCCTCTTAACGCTTCTTATCGTCAGGTGTGAAAGGTGAGAAATTATTCACGACATTTACAGCTAAAGTTGGTCAAATAAATACCGGTACACATTTGAATTTTGAAATACAGTTTTTCAACACCCAGGAAAGCTCCAGACATTGGATTTTACTGCAAAATGCACTTCAGCGGAACAAACAAGCCGGAAAAGTCTCAAGGAAGAAATACTGTACTGCAATACGGTATTCACGAGAACATTTTGATGGAATAACCTCAACGATGAGCAAACAATTGAAGCCAATGGCAATACATTCGGCCACATAATTACCGTTACACATCAAAATTTTAAAATCCAGTTTTTTAACATTGAGAAAAGCGTCAGACTTCGAATTGTAATGCATAAAATTCCACGAAAAAAAACTGAAGAGTCTGAAGGATGAAGTAATATTTACTACATTTATACAAAATTGATGGAAAAATTTTAGCGTCGAGACTTTTTTGAATACCGTAATCCCCACCCACAGTAGCACTTTATTTTTATTTTTTTCTTCCAATCGGGCAAAAAAGCTGAAACATACCGTTTCAATTTTGAGCAAGACATTCCATAATATTTTTCATTTGTATATTTTCTGCTCAACAGATCTCATAAGTTTAAATATGTCCTAAAAAATAATATAAAGAAATGAAGCAGATGTTGCAGAAATAAATTCATTCATGCACATTTAAAAACAAGGCTTTTAAAGTCACTGTTAGCACCAAAAGCTTTTGCATCAAAGAGATAAGAATCTGGCATGAAGGTTTTCCTGATTCTTATCACAGAAGAAAAGTTAAGTTTAGAAAAGTGAGAATATCTCAAGATCTGTCAATCAGGTCAACGTGTATATGATCATGGAAAAGTTGGGAAACATCTTCAGCTTCAATTTAAGATGTGGAATGTTGTAAGTTTAAAATTCGCGGAGTTATTTGCTTCGGAAGTTTCGCGCGTTGGGAATTGCGCCATAGGTGAAGCATCTTTTCTTTGATGATTTTATTTCTTTTTGAAAGCAAGTTTTTATTGCACAATGCTGGATTGTATTTTCTGATTGTGTATGTGATACTGTGATTGTTGTCTTTATGAAACCTGTGATTAGAGACAATGAGAAAGTCCTCTTTTTAAAATCCAAGGAGTGAGGATGCTCCAGCTTCCCTTATTTTCTGCAGTCATGATTTAAGGGGTAGTTATGCATTTTTAAAATTAAATTCCATTGGAGGCTGGGTAACTGCCTCAGCACTCAGATGTCTCTTGCATCTGGAATGTTCTTCATGCAGCCTAAAATCTGCAATAAGCAGATAATCGAGCCTTTTTTCAACAGCCAACTTTTTTAACAGTCACACCTTCTCATAAGTAATAATCTTCTGGAATACTGTATCAACGTTTGTGTGAGTCTACTCGCGAGTGAATCTTCCTCGTAGCAAAATTCCAGATGACGTGGATTCTTACAAGTAAAAACAAAAAGATGGGAGACGATACGATACCTTCACGAGGAATGGTGAACCCGGAATCGGTAGCTCGGCATAACGGATGTCCACGGCATGATCGCCAACCTCTTCCGGTGAGTAGGACACGGTGAACTTGGCCCCACCTTCGCCGCCAATCGGGGTTAGAACATGAGGAAGGATACCGCGACTTGGGCCAGTCACGACCACCACCAAATCACCACCAGATTCCTGCAAAAAAATTAAAAAAAAAGTTTTAAAATGTCCGCGAAATATGAACTTTTTTTTATAAATCTCCAGGGAGTGTTTTTCCAACGTCCAAAATCCGATTTCAGAAACTTTCACTCATCATCTCCCGTAATTTTGCGCCAACACGATTTTAACCCTGGTCAGCGGTAACTCGAACAGATGACGTTCCGCATAATACATTTTTTAAAACTTGGTAACTATGGGCTGCCACCAACCGTTGCTTCAGATAACGGACCGCTCAAGAAGTGATACTCAGAAGAAAAAAATCGAAGTTGTTGGGGAAATGTGCCCATCAGCAGGTTTCTCAAGGGTCGCGACTTAATTGACTATTGTTACCCTCTTTTGTTCAAGGATCTCTGATTTCCTGGTTTGGTTAGATCTTTCCCTTTTTTTTTCAAACTTAAAACTGTATTTCGAATTTGATTCTATTATCACTAACGGGTTAAAAAAATTTCTTAGACTCGAGTTCGTTATGCGTTTAATGCTTGCATTTTTTTGGGGCGGTGTTGAAAATTCGTCCCAAGATCTCAGTAAAACCGAAGCATCCCAAATACAATTTCTCCAATTTTGTTCTATCATGCCAGTATATCATTAAAATTGCATTGAAGCTTTAAAAATGGAAATTTTCGAGTCTAACAAATAAGAGAACGAAAAAAAACAGAATCGTAATTCGCAGAACGCTTCATTCTTCGGATTTAACGAGCTGCGTAATTCGATCATTACTTCAAATCGACGGAAAATACCATATTTACGCGACTGCAGACCGCATCAATTTAGTGGAGTTGATACTTAAATTTGCAAATAATCGCAAAATTTAAGAATGAAATTCTAGGTCTGCTTGAAAAAAAATAAGCAGGAATTGGATTCGGAACTGAACTATTTCCCTTGTTCTCACGGTCAGAAATATTTTCTTGCTTCGTGAAAGAAATAAAGGTAACGGGGTTTAAATTGACCAAAGCTAGATTTTTAAACCATCTTAAGTTACAAGAAAAGGTTCATTACATCTTTCAGATCATATTCAGCACACATTTGAGACATTTCGAAAAATTGGGTCGCATTCTTCGAAAGAAAAAAAAAAGCAGTATGTTCACAAATATCCCGATTGTTAGCAATAAAATGCTGAATACCCAAAAGGTCTCCAGCAAATTCGACTTTGCGAGGTTTTTAGGGGAAATCCTTCGAGTTCACGAGATTTTTAATGCATAATTCGTGAGGAAATATACACCGAGACTTTAAAAAATTCGACCTACAGTAGAGGTATTCAACGTAAAGATTCTTGAGTTTTCGAGGTTCAACCATAAAAAAAAGTTTACTGTTTTAAAGATGACGATTTTTTTTTCAAGCGGAAGGAAATCAAACACCCTCAGGGCATCTTTCAACACCCACCCGCAAAAACTAATGAGATTAAAAGTAAACCCAGAAGAAATATGTACGTCTGTTGTAACCGTGACGCAAAAAGGAACTGGCGAAATCCTCAACAGATGCTTGAGAGAAGATCACAATCTACCAGGTTCTCACGCGACCGTGTTTCTTCAAATATCTTTCATTACCTAAAAGAGCGAACAAGACATGAAAAGAAAACGAGACGAAAAAAAAAAAAAACTGAGTAAACGCTTTCGTCGACTTCTCGTTTAATTTCCTCATTTCATCTTCCGCGTATGAAAAAAAAAAACTTTCGTGTCTGCAGAAGAAAATCGAAGAAAAAAAATTAGAACTAAATTAAAACCTTCTCACTTGATATAGAAACAGCTTTCCCAGGAGCGATTGATCAACTTTCATAGCGTGACACGGTAAATGACACACATAATAAAGCCGGTTTATCATTAAGATATCCAATAATTTACGACAGCCAAAGAGGAGCGATCATAAGGTAAGACCATTAAAATACGCAGGATTTTATTCCAAAAAGGTGGATTTTCCCTAAAATGGACCAATCCCAACAAAAAAATATTTCGGAAATTTTCATTTGTTTCAGGCGTTTGGATCTTCGTATTTGTAAACTTTCTCGCACAAAACGGTTCCACGTGTCCCCAGAGATGCTCGAAAAAACGGCGATATCAAACATTCCTACAATCACCAATCAAATTTTATTTCTTCCAACACCCACTAACTTTGTGCTTTACTGCCAATTTGAAGAAATTTCTTCCAAATTCGCCATAGCCGGCGCAGATTTATTTTCCATGAGTCAAACGCTCTAAATATTAAATGGCGGGCAGAATCATAAATTTTTCTAATAACCCTCTGATCAACAGAAGATTTTCAAAGCAAAGAGAAATCAATTCATTTTCTGCTTTCAATTGCAGCATTCAGCTTCTCATCACAACAATTGATTGCCAAACTTATTACGGAAAGTGAAAACTAACAAGAAGTAACGGTATCATTCAAATTAACCATTTTAAATCGAAGATTTCCCCAAGTCCCGGAATAAATAGAATCCATTTGCGGAGTTCAGAACTGTCAGAAAAACCAGTCTCAAAAAATCATTTAAAAATTCATCTGGTCACAAGTGAAGATGGATTTGGATTAAGAATGATTCAGAATACCAACCAAATCAATCGAAGTAATTACGTGAGGAGAAAGCTAATTTTCGGTCAACCATTAAAAAGTGGAATATTCGCGTTTTGACCGGGCACGTCGTCTCGCAGGAAATAACGAAACATCCGGATAAGGAAACAACGGCAGCACTCTCGTCAAAGCACCGGAAACTCATTTCAATATTCATCCAAGATATCGACCGCGTTGCGACATTGACACGCGTTATAATTCCCGAATGCTCAGGAAAAAAAAGACACCGACTGGGCTCGTGAAGGAAAGCGGAATACAATACGAATAATTTATTCTCTGAAATTATTGAGCAACGCGATCAACTTTGAGTTTCCTGATCGCTCCGACCTTTTGTCGTGATGGAAAACGTTGAAAATTTCTAGAATTGTGTATTTCTACGTGAAAACAAATCATTCTCATATTGATTTTCTTCAATTTTTGATTGCTCACTGAATAAAAGATAAGAAAATATCTAGAAAGCTTTCCGTAATTAATTCTTCATTATAAAAAAAAACTGGAGTAACATCTAAAGATAAATCCTCATTAATTACTCCCGTTATGACGATGCATAAAGAACAGGAATAATTCACGACTCAATCTCGAAGGAGCGAAGACTCTCAATGACATTGTTTTTGGGGGGAAAATACGGAGCACGAATTTAAACTTTCGATTCGAGAAAACCGGGTTCTTATTATTTACGACCAATTTGTCATTTCACGAGGTTCAATATCAAGAAAAATATTTCGAAAACAAGTCCAGGAAACAAGACTTCCCTTCTAGGTGCATTTTATTTAGTCGAAGAAACAAGCTTTTCTGCGCCAAGGGATGTTATGATTTTTATCGATACATTTCCGCAATTCAAAAACTCAGTTTTGACTATTCATTTCCCTGTTCTGAAGACCGAATTTAATCCGGATATTTTCCTTCATTCAGGGGGGAAAAACAATGCACACTAGGGCAAAAAAATACTGAAATACGAAGGATTGGAGAACTTAAGGAGTACAGAATATTATCGTCCATCTAAATTCTTTAGTCACGATTTTTCTAGGGAAAAAACCTCGAAATAACAAAAGATATAAAAACCAATATGAGCAATCCCCAAGTAATTTTAAACTGTTCTATTTTCCGCCCTGATTCGGACAACTGCTCGCTCACTAATTTTTATTTTAGGACAACCATTCACAGAGAATATTTGACGATTGATACAAAAATTGAAGGAATACCGTTTTGTCGGATCTTTCAACCATGTCAATAGAAACATTTTCTCAATCTAACATACTTAGTAGCTTTCAAAACTGCCTGTACGTTAATAAGTCATGCTAGAATAAGCAGGTGAACTCAACTTTCCCAATAATGAGGTGAACATGATCAAATTTTCCTACAAACTGGGTGAGCAAAAATTCAACAGTTGTCAAGAAAATATTCAACATCACCACATAAAATCTATCAACATCCATCACAATTCATCCAAAAAATGTCAACACAAAACTTCAGATCAAATTATCCTTCCGAATGGATTTAAAAACAATTTTTCCGAGACAATCCCTGAAATTTTAGTCGTGGGAATACCCCCCCAAAAAAAGCGTGAATAACGCCTAAAAAGTAACACTCACTTGTGAATGTATGTAAAAAGTAGCTGGCTGTCCGACGGGCACTTTATCCAGTCCGTCGCCGGAAGCAGTAACCCGACTCGCGTCCAAAACTGCACACTGAAACGGACTCCCGGGAACGTCCTCGCCGTTGAACTTCAATTCAACGACATGAGTCTTGGGCTCTTTCGGTGTGAAACTGATGGCGTACGTGTGATGACCCTGGCTTTGCGCTGATGTCGGTACTTGACCCTGGTTCACAGTCACTTCCAAGTTCCCTGGTCCCGCCTGGCTCGTCTCAACTGTTTTTTTTTTTTTCGAAATCGGCAGAACAAAAGTTAAATTGGATTGAATTCCTCACAAAAAGATAAAAAGGCAAGGGGGCCAATGTTACACGAGACAATCCTGGAGAAGAACCTGCTCGAAACGTTTCGTACTCCTCCAGTTAAAATTAACACGAGTTTCCAGACCCAAAATGCAATAATGTAATTTCAACATTATCCAAATCCCAACCATTCGAGTACGATAAATATACAATATAATATCAGAAAATGCACTTTGTTTCCAACTCCACGTGAGGACTTCATTTGACAATACCTTGATTTTACGATTGCGCTCATCGAATATTCTAAGCATAATCGATTTGTGAAGACAGGGAAAATATCGTACACAACGATTTTTTCCAAATAATATATTCAGATGAAACACGATTTACGCAATTAAAACACGATTATATTTAGGCCAAGAGACGTAAAACCTCGTCCAGATGATCAAGTTACACCTGCTCAAGGACTTCGAGTGTTACGTAGAGTTCCGATTCGTCTTACCGAGGAAGGTCACCGGACGACCAACAACGCCACGGGTTGACTCCCTGACCTTGATCTGGGTCACGTCGTAGACCTTGCAAGAAAACGGTGACCCAGGTACGGCTTCCTTAGCGTACAACACGTGCACTCGGTGTTCCCCAGCAACCCGGGGTGCATATTCAACCAGAAAGCTGCTCCCATCTCCGGTTCGCGTCAACTGGGCAGGAACGCTGGATCCAGTTGGTCCTTTTACAAGAGAATAAATTGAACGAAAGAGATCACTTCACATGTCCGTACAAGTGGTATCCAGCAACACAAAAAATCCATGTCACTCGACGAAAGAACAGTACATCAACTCGACGAATCCGACAAACAAAGACATGCACAGTACCAACGTGAACCCTTGGAAGTATTTGACATACAGCACAGTGAAACTCATGTTTTCCAAACTACTTTTCACATACATTTTTAAAATTTCCTTTTTTCGTTTCTTGGGATTCTTCGCACATCATTCCCCAAGCCGACATCCATAAGCATCTCCTCCAAGCTTCAAGGAGGTACGGAGAAAATTATGATAGCCAGGAAGATGTCAGGTTCATGTGCAGTTCACAAGTATACTTGATCATCACTGCTCTGAACTAACATTCAATTACCAGAACTCCCAATTAGTTTGGATAATTTGAATTCCACCGAATATTCAAGTCGATGGAACACATGCATAATTTTCAACATGCACAACACAAAAGCCATCAACAGGAGAGTATTCATTCAGATCAATAACAAGTTTTCAACACCCCTGACGATTGATTTTGACCAAAAACGGGTGAGCCCAATAAATCCGGATTGCCTTGACGACACTAAACACGGGATTTTCTCTAGTCACGAACAAAAAAAAATTTTAATTCATCTGAAACAAATTTTGAAAAGTATCCATCGACAAAGCCGACAGATTCAGGCTATTCTGGGCAAGATTTGCTCATCATGCGGAATAACCTTCCACAACTTGATGTCTATGGGTTACCTTATCTTGAAAGTTTGAACGATCAGCAATTAAAAGCGGGTTTACGATCCGAATTTCATCCTCCTAAATTCAGAAATACTCATTGAGTAGCAATTTTATGTAAAAACATTTTTCAACTTGAAACTAAGTATGGCGGTAAAATCAAATTACAGTATTCTCGCTCTTTCTCTCCTGTTCATTTTAATCCATGAGATTGTTTTAAAATTAATGAGATTTTCTTAGAACAATACATCCAAGATCAAAATTTCGAGCTGAATCTATAAAAAGAGCTCGCGAAAAAATCAGAGAAACATTTCGCAACGCCACAACCGAAAAAAGGCAACAATCACTATAATTTACACGGTAAACTACACAACGAAGGCGGGTCACGGCTGAAAAAACCAGACAAACATCGAAATGCTGATCACAAATACATGAAAGCGAACGAACAATACACATGTAATTAAACAACAAGCCAGGCGTGAGGAAGATACGCACTAGCCGAGATGTCGAACCGTCAACACCTTCACCTTCACCGAAATCCAGGCACCTGATACTCGTGCGGGAAAGAAAGAATTAAGGTTAGGAATTAAGAATTGACGTGGATAACCTCGCCTATTGAAAAGAAAAATATCCCACAGTTCGAAATCGTTCAACAAAAACCACCTCGCTCCATTCCCGTTGAATTCCTCTTAGCATCTTCCCACAAAATATAAAATCCTCTCCCACGAACAAAATGAATTCCACTGATCAAAATATTGTTTCCTCGAGTTATTCTCCTCACGCCACGGAATTCGAATGTGAGGACAAACCGCCGAATTATTTGTGTGAGTCTACCTCAGACAAACAACAGTAACGCGTGACTAGCAATCTGCGTGTAGTCACATCACGAATACGGATTAAAAATTGAACATGTCAATGCGCATTTATCTCAGAAACGGTACCTTCAACGTTGACCTCAATGTCCTCCACAGTACCAGCAGTCACGTTGGAAATAGTGAAATACGCGGGTTTTCCGACAGCCGCCGAAGCCAGTCCTTGTCCACTAACGAGCAAACGATTGGGATCCGCAGCAACATGCGCAATAAATGGAGACCCTGAAAGTACAGTACAGAAAGTACAGTATAGTAATTTCTGGAGACAGAGCTAACCCGAATTATATTTATTTTGGCAGGATCAGACGCTTTCACGGGAATATAGAATTTTTATGTCGGATTTTGATCATGAGTCCTTTGAATAATCACCAGAAAAATCATCGGTCTAGTCAAAAATTGTTTTCAACACAAAATGATGAGTAATCCTGAATACTCACCAGAAACGTCCTCTTTGTTGAAGGAAATCGTGATGACATGATCACAGGCTTCCAGGGGCACAAAAGACACGGCGAATCGCGCATTTCCTTGGGGGTGCACCTGCGTCGGAATGTTCCTGCCACCCGCGCTGATGGTGATTTCAAGGTTCCCTTCTCCAGCTTGTCCAGCATCCACAGTGAATTGTAAGGCTTTACCGATCGCACCACGCGGCAACGGACTTACGTACACTCTCTTAGAATCGTAAACCTTTGCAGTGAACGGAGTGCCAGCTACCGCAGTACCATTGTATTCCACTAAAACAGTGTGAGCGCCAACTTCTTTTGGCACGAATTCCGCCCGGAAGCCCGTCCTGGTAGTTCCGCTCACTTTCACCGGAAGTGTCGACATGGATGGCGCACGAACGGAAACCCCAAGCTCCGCTGGGGTTGTCCCATCAACATGGATCATGAACGACGCGGCTTCATCAAAGCCTTAGTCAAGTTCTACCGCTTCTAAGTGAAATTGTGCTGAGCACAGACACTGAACCGTCTTCTTGCCTGTTGGACCGTTGTCTTCTCTCTTGTAGTTAAGGGCACAACCCGGATTTTTACCTGGGAGATTGCGCGTGCTACATGACGTTATTTATCAAAGCGAAATCGCATCAGGAGAAAAACACTCCAAATCAACCAATTGAAAAAAAATTCAAGAAAATGAAGCATGTTTAGCGTACGAAAAAAGTTAAACAAACGGAGAGGAGAGAATACCCATCCATAAATAATTAATAAAAATACTCAGAATCATCAAAGCAATAATCAAGATCAATTTTTGGAAGAAATCTAAAAATTCATCAGGAAGAAATTGCCATTTCAAAACACATGCCAATCACAAATTTGAACTTTTGAAGTTAACTCTGTATGACACTCATTTGTTGGCATCTTCCACTGAATTCGCAAAAAATAAATTCCAATGAGATGGAACAACTTTTATAGAAAAATAAAAAATTACTTTGATCTCGTCAAAAAAATTAGCAGTGGGGCCCTCAATCCTACATGCTTCCCTACAAATGATGCGCATAAAATACATCAAGTATGAAAGGCAGTAAAGTTATAGCAATGCTGATTTGACACGTCGCAGAGGTTCAGCATTCTAATGCAGTACAGTATATGAAGAATGGAGTACCCTAAACGTACCTGGTACAGTATCTCCGTTGAACTTGATGTCGATATTATGTTCCATGGCCTTCTCAGGAATGAAGCTAACCAGGCATCGTCCACCTCCAAGGACCTGAACATGATTCGGAACTTCACCGTCACAAATGGAGATTTCCAATTGCCCCTCGCCCGCTTGACTGGCGTCAACACGGAATTGACACGGAGATCCCACGACGCCATTTGGAGGATCTGACACTCGGATCAGAGACGCATCATACACCTTGGCGAGGAATGGTGAACCCACAGCCCGATATCCACCCGCTGGCGGAGTACTGACTCCATGCTTTGCGGCAGCGGTTGCGAGCATGACTACATCAACAAGGTAGGTTCCAACTTCCAGACCTGAGAATTCGACGCGAAAGTTGCCGGCAATCCCGAAGACAGTGGAGCCGGAAGCGTCTGCATTTTCCACATCCTCAGCACTAATGAGTCTGAATGCAACTGGCTGCTTGGCTGGTCCTGAAAAAAACGATTTTACAGAATCAAGAGATACACTCGACAGAACATGTGCGATAAAACAGGAAATACACAACATTTATCACCATCTTCTCAAATATTTCCTTCTCTACGTAGATAAACCCGTACGCACGAACTGTTCTACAATGTACATTTTCGGCAAATACAAACAGACACCCCCACAAACGAGATATAAAAACGCAACGGAGGGTGAAGAACAAAAAGCAGAACACGTCGTCCCAACCCATTTGTCTAGTAGGGCTCCAATAATTTTATCACGATGAACAAAATTATTAAAAATGTGGAGCTTAAGATAAATTTTGAATTGTTTGCAATATTGGACTGATCTTGAGAAAACCAACGCAGAAAGACGCTTTCGAGGCGGAAATCGAACAAACATAAAAATTATCACTGGAAACAATCATATTTCTCACCGGTGACAGTAATTTCCAGGTCTTCCCTATCACATCCTGGGGCGGATAAGTCAAAACGCGCAATCTGCCCAACAGATATGTGTCGTATCGGCTCTCCTTCAATCACGATCGGCTCGGGCACAGGACCCATCTCGTCCGTTGAAAACTAACGCCACTCGACTCTCTTTCGTATTGTTCGCAATCTGCCAGAAAAACCATCGATCAAATCTTATATGAATCACGTCATCGGCTGAAATTGTATACATTCAACACACGCATATCTCATTAGAGATCACTACCTCGCAGTTAAACGACGTTCAAATCCTCCAACCCATCAAACTTGGGACGACATATGTACAGAAATTTCGTACATATGCACCCAGATTTTTCCAACATTCACAAGCTATTGACATACTGTGCAGTAATTCACTTCCTGGAACTAAGAAAAATTCCCAAACACTGATGAATCCAGGCTGAGGAAAACTAACTCAACACAGCACGTGGACACAAGGAACGAACCAAAATCGTCAACAATCCTCAATAATCTCGTAACAATAATTTGAACATTTTCCTGCTCACGGACTTCAGCCAGCCCAGCTGAAACATTATTATCGTTTCTCCGGGCGCCGCCATGTTTTACCCTGACGCCCTCTAACCAAAACAGTTGTACAATACTGTACTTGGTGGTACATTACTTCTTCATTTCAATGCGGCTCTCGGTGGCGCGGCTACCGTCGTACCATTAATATATATTTTAAGATCCATGGAAATGCTCTTCAGAATTCTGTTCTTCTTCCGTTAAAGGTTAATTTAGATTATTTAGGTTAGGTTATATTAAAATTAGATTGTGACAAGGAAATAAACAATTTTGGCGTTTATAGATTTGAATGGTACCAGCGGAGCCAAGTCGCATTGGAAAGAAGTAAAACTTTTACGGTTTGAATTTCTCTCATATCAAAAATGGAAAAATTATGATTAAAAAAATAAAATGGGATGGGTCTTTTTGTGCTCTATGTTGAGGCATTTACATTCCCCACTCAATAACGTTTTGCAATTCCTGTAAATCTTTAAATTGCTTGAAAATTACTGAAACTGCTCTGGCTAGTCATAAAAGAAACATTCATTTCAGATAAACATTATTTTACTTGTTTTCTGACAAATTGTTCTAAAAATTCATGAAATGAGCATTTTGAAGCCATCTACATTCTACAGTATATATTAAATAAATTTAAAAGTATTCTGTACTGTACTTTCATCACGAAAGGGTTGGCCCCTTTGAGTTGAGCTTGGTTATTTTCTAGTGTAGGTACCTCTGCGAAAAAAAAATTATAATGAAGCCCATCCTATTTTACCATTCTGGGATTATTTTCAGATTTTCAGAACATTTCTTAGATTTACTGCTGATGCCATGTTACCTCATTATTTACTTCTTGATGATAAGTAAAAACTTTACAGACATGGCCAGAGTACTCCACCCATGCCACAAGGAGTTGGAAATTTTCAGGAGAGGTAAAAAAGTACTTGAAATTTTTCTTTTAAACGTTAAATTTTCTACATCCTGTGTAAACTTCAATTTTTAAGCAATATTTTATTTACAATGAATGAAAGCCAGAAAGCATTTCGCATTTTCCAACAGCAAGGGTTAATTTCAAAATATGTAATTTTCTCTTCAAAAAGATAACCCAAGGCCTTTATCTACCTGCAATATTTTCTTAATACGTACCTTCAAGTTTTACAAAGCCCCTTTTTCACACCTTTCAACTGGAAGGACGGAAAATAAAGGACAATGGCGTGAGATGCAGAACCTACCCAAATGGGGGGAAAATCTGGCGATGGACAGGGGAAGGGGACAAGATCTAACAGGAATTTGGGGCTTGCGCAGATTTCTCCTTGCCCAACTTCCTGAACTCAAAGCGTGTGATGAAAAAAAATAATAAATGAAAAAAATCCAAAATGAGGTTTTTAGTTCATTCAATTTCGTTGCAGAGGATCTTCGTGACAGTCCTCTTGTATCATGTTTCAACGGGGCACTTCATCATAACTTAAACCTATCCATTCAGGGAATACCTTAATTTGCAGAACGCATAAAATAA